ATATTAACCGTACCATAGGTTAATAGTACATAAATGTGGTTACAGTCCAAATACTGATAATATCAGTGTAGCCCTTACTGGGTAATGTTGCTGCCAAAACGATCCACTGCCACCCTCAGTGACTGAGGATGGAGTGGCACGAAGAAAGGGGCTCCTGGCACAGAGCTCTGCCAGGGACAGCTGCGACAGTTGTGCCTGGCTAGGGAGAACTTTGTTCTCAGTGTCATCAGAGTGGGTCCTAAATTTCCTTTCAAGGCAGTAAGTGTCAGAACCCTGTGCTGAGGTGCTTTTTGGTTTGTTTTGTGGTGTTTTTCTATTTCTACCTGACATAACTGCTTATTGTGGTTACTCAGGTCCATTAAAATTGGCCAGACTGAAGCCCACTGCTTTCATCTTCAATGCTTTGTTTAAGGGGCATCTTAGAATAGGAGCAACAAACTTCAATTCATCTGCAGCTTTAGTGAGCAAAGGCCTCTGCAAGCTGCTCTGAATGCCTGCCCAGCATTTGGGGCTGCTTTTTTCAGCAGTGGGCTTCTGGCTTCAGTCAGCCTGGGGCAGTGAGGAGCATGTCTGGTCATACTGTGGGACAGCAGAGTCTCTCAGGAGCTGTTTTGCCTGGAATCATTTATTTCTCTTCTTCTTTCACAGCCCTTTAATCCACGCCTTCTAACCATACACTGTTGCTGAACTAAATTAACTGGTTTAGTGAAGACAGTATTCTCTATGTCAAACAAGTCTGTCTGGTCTGGATGTAGAAAACTGTAATTGAATTTACTGTATACACCCACAGAGGCTTTCAGAGAAGCACCGTGCTGGGCAGATCAGTAATAAAAAAGGAAGATGTAAAATCAGTGATATTAAAACCTTTGTCATAGCCGTTTGAGTGGAGTTCCCCAGCACAGCGCGCCTGCAGCTCTGCCCTCAGATCGCAGGGCAGCTGTTTCTGTGGGCTTGGCTGCAGCAGGCAGGGCAGCGGCGGTGTGCCTGGCAGGCTGTGCCTTCTGTCTGGGGGCTCACAGCAGCAGCAGCAGTCCCAGCATAGTGGCGTGAGCAGTCTGTCGGGCAGGATGCTCTGTGCTTCAGCCTAGTGGCTCGGTGGGGCTCACTGCGTGTGGTGCTTTCCTTTTGTGGGTGAGGTTGATCCCTGAGGGCATCTGTTCTGAAATCTGAACACGATTCTCATGGAAATAATCAGTCCAAAGAAACGGCCTGTGCCGCATGGGTGCTCCCTCAGTCTCTCAGAGAGGAGCTGGGCTTCTGGCAGGGCCACCCCGGGCTCATCGCACCACTTGGGCCCTGCTGTGCGACAGGGAAGCTCCTGCAGCCTGCCTGGGGAGGCCTGTCATCCACAGAGATGGCACGGATAATGTAGCATGGGGAGGTGTCTTGTGATCTGGCAGGAAGCAGGGAGCCGGTCGGGTGATGATTCCTATCTTTGTCAGGGATTTCGACAGCCTTGTATCAGCCTTGCAGGGGCTTGCAGGAGGCCTTTGGCTGGGAGTGGGACCTGAGCGCCTTGTAGGAATGGAGGGAGGGTAGCAGATAGTGGCAGATGGAAAATGCAGCCTGAGATTGTAGTAAGGGTGCTAAAATGCATCAGCCCTTTTAGTACAAATCAGTGCTTGTGCTGTTAACTCCTTAAAAACTGTACTCTTCCTGAATACTCGTTTGACAGGGGTACAGTATTGCCAGCTGGCCAAATCTGTCTGTCATTAAAGAGACAGACAAATAGATGCAAAGCCTATAGCTTATTGCAGCAAGAGAAAGCCAAACACAATCTGCATTGCACAACGCATTTAAGTAAATCTAATAGGAGGGTTGAGGAAGACAGCAAGATTAGCTTGACAAAGGTTTGTTGCTAAACAGACTCTTCAGTTCCCCAAGCACAGACACACTGAACTTGCTCCACCCCAGGCCTTCCATTTGCTTCGTGGCTCAGCTTATTTTGATGGCTTTATTGTGAAGCAAGGTTTGTGAGTTCCAAAAGGGGAATAAAGTGAAAAACCTCTGTCCTCTCTGTTCCCCTGTGCCTGCTTGCGGTGCTCGTGAATGGGCAGCTGAAGGATCCTGCTCTCAGTCAACCGTGCTCATACCCTGTTCTCTTTGTGATACCCAGGTCCCTCTCTGTATGTCCCTCATGCAGGTCCCTCTCAGTGCTGCTTTGCGGGTGCCTGCAGCCTCCCACGGCCACGAAAGGGTTTTCCTCTCCTCTGGCAGCGTCTCTGTTGTCAGAAACAAAGCAAATCCTGATCACTATTGAAGGAGCAGATACGCCCTGTGTTTCAACATCTGAAACCAGGCCCATCAATCTGAAACTGTTCCCCACTCCCAGTGCCAACAGCTCCATTAACAACTATGCTCCAGAAAGAAAGGAAATTGCTTTTCCCCTCGCTGCCATGTCAGCCCACCATTTGGAAACTCCCCCGCATCTTCCTTTTCATGCTGGAGGTGGTGCGCTCATCTCTGTGACCTGCAAGCATCTGCTTCCCTGGTTTTCCGCTTCGCTGCGTCTCTGTTTAGACACTGCTATGCCCTGTCCCACATACTAATTACTGACTTTTTGCTTCTGAGGAGCTTGATTCATTCTGGCACATTTTCCCACGTGAAACTGGACCTAGAGCCTTGGAAAATATCTTAATGGACACCAGAGTAAGTCTGAGATTAACCCCAAATTGGCTGCTGTGTCTGAGCTAACAGGCACGTCTTTAGGACTGTGAGCGTGGCAACTCCCAGGGTGCAGAGCCTGGCCCTAGAGCAGTCCCAGCTGTGGCAGTGCAATAGCAGCAAGGTAACATTCTGCACGAAAAAGCTCTTTGCTTTTTCCCATCTGAGTCTCGCTATGTAGTAGCTGCTTTTTGCATACTGGGGTTTTGTCCCTGGATGTCCTCAGCGTTGCTGGTGCAGAGACCAAAATTGAGGCTTGCAGCCCAGTGGTGCAGCAGCAGGGGCTGTCCCTGTTGCAGGGGTTGGGCTGTGGTATGTCTGCTCATGGCAGTAAATCTGCCTTACAGCCCTGGCTAGCCCAGAGACTGTACTTCAAAGGTTTGGCAGGAAGGGAGGATTTCTCTCCTCTCAAAATGAATATATTAATTTTGTATTTGTGAAGTTGAGCACAGAGACGATCCTTGCTCAGCTGCTCTTGCAGCAGAAGCTTTCATCTAGGCACTGATGATAAGTAGTAGGTACATTTGACCTCTGTGTAATTTAACACTTTTTCCTTACCTACATGCCTCTCCCCAAATCCAAATACTGCGTCCAGTTAACATGTGTTAGGTCCTGGCAGCTTCAAGCACAGGCCCAAGGACATGATGCAGCCCTCAAAGCCTCCCCCTCTGCATTGTGCTCAGAGCTCAGCCTTCCTTGTAGCTGCTGATGAACCCAGGCAGCCACAATTCGTCTTCACCACCATTACCTTTTGATGGCTTGACTTCCTTGCTGCTACACTTGAGTCACTTTATGATTTCAGCAGGATTTCACTATTATTTATTCAGTTTCCAGTTAAGCCTCTTGGATGCTTTTGTACCTTTGACATATGAGAGACTGAGATTAATTTATTTATGTGGTTAATCAGACTATTGGTGCTGCCTATTTTTTTTTTTTCCGATTTCTTAACATTGGATGAATAATAAGAATTGAAAATCTGGAATGAAACTTGTAAGAACTTTCCTTCCTTTCTGCCAGCAGATCTAGTTGAACGCTTTTGAATTCCAACCACCAATAATATTTTGAAAAATTTAAGAAGCTTTCATAAGCTCTCCAGTATCTTGAATGAAAACTTAATTTGTGACTTCCTACAAAATTACTTCCTGTATTTTACTGGCAGTAACACCCGCATTTACAGCTCCAGCCGTGCATAATGACTAAGGATTGCCATCTTCTCTGCAGTCTGGTTTGGATGGTTACGTTCTGCCTGCTTCATTCTCTCTCTGTTCCATTTCTGTTGGGTACTGTATTTTACCTTGTGTCCTGTCCCATAGTACTGTGTGTGTAGTTCAGAGAGCCATTGTGCTCAGTCCCAGAAGGGACTGCGTTTTGATGGCTGCGGAGCTTTTTGTGTTGTATAAAATCCTTCATCTGTTTCACGGGGTTGCCAGGAATCATTCTTGTTAAATTTAAGGATAGAAAAATGTGTCTCACCTCAACTGTATTGAAATTAGATCAAGGATCACAGGATTAGCTCTTCTGCATTTTTAATGTACTTATTGGTTCGGAGCCTGTGGGGATCGAAGCATATAAATGAGGTTTGTGCCTGTGCCTGGGCTGTGAAGCAGCCGGTGGTGCTGGGCTGGTCAGAGCGGCCATTTCCATTGCAGTGGGCCTCTGCCCCACACCTGGCTCAGACCCACTGTATGAGGAGTGTGGGGGACCTTACTTGGTGCCTGACTGCCCCCCTCTCCCCCCATGCTGGAGCCAACCAGGCAGCGCACCTACAAGATGTGGGTCTTTGTTCCTGTCCTGTGGTGCGAGAGCGTTGTGGGCTTCAGTTTTTGCTGAATGTCATCTGACATCAATTTGTGTGGAAAATATGGCAGTTCTGTTCCTAAAAAAAAAAACAACAGTGTAATACCGAATGATCAACAGTTTCAGTGTTTGTCTGCATGTGTGTAATGGGGGACCATGAAAATCTCAAAGCGGTGGTTTGTGCATTTGATGGTTTGCACAGGAGATCATGAAAAATGAGTGTAAAATATACCAAATGAATGGCTTAGATTTCAAAACAAGTATAAGTAACACCAATGAAAAATACTATTCTTGTTCAGTTGTAGTTGGGGCTTTCAGGTTAAATTAGAGCTGGAAAATATTGTTTCTTCATCAGATGAAGAGATTAAAAATTGTCCTACTGGTTAATTTTCCATCTTCATTAAGAACACAGAGAAGTAAAATTCTGCATGATCTCTGCTGTCACTGGCTTCATTGGGATTGCCCACACAGGGCCACAGGTCTGAAGATACTATGTGACATTCTTGCAGTTACTAAAAAGGTGGAATTTTTCTTCCTAGGCCCTCCATCTGCACCCCAGAACCTGATTTCCAATGTCAACGAGACATCGGTGAACTTGGAGTGGAGCGCCCCGCAGAACAAGGGAGGACGGGAGGACATCTCCTACAACGTGGTGTGCAAGCGCTGCGGGGCCGGGGAGCCCAGCCGCTGCCGGTCCTGTGGCAGTGGTGTGCATTTCAGCCCCCAGCAGAACGGGCTGAAAACCACTAAGGTTTCCATCACTGACCTCCTGGCACATACCAACTACACCTTTGAGGTCTGGGCAGTGAATGGAGTGTCCAAGCACAACCCCAGCCAGGACCAAGCCGTGTCAGTCACTGTGACAACTAACCAAGCAGGTAGGAACCTAAATGCACTTTTAATTCTGGTCTCTTTTGCCTGGTTTTTGGAAAGCTGTGGTTTCCATTAAATTTTGCATGAGAAAATGAACCCAAGGTACCCTAAGATGCGAAGCTGGGTCAAACTCTTATTTTCTGGGTTATTTATATGGATAGTTTAAACTGTTTAGAGCTAGAAGAACCGAGGTGCGTTTGAGTGGTGTAGCTGGTTACAGAATTGCGCTGCAGCGTGCTGCAAGGACACTGGGAGGCATTCTGCAGAAGCAGGACAGCACAGCTGCTGTGGAGGATGCGGAGGGGACAGAGCCAGGGCTGCTTAGCAGCTTAGCCCCTCCTCAGCAGACCCAGCACATGAGCACAGATGTGCCCGTGGTGCTGGCAGAGGGCACAGCACAGCTGAGGAGCCCTGTGCTGCTCTTCTGCCTTCCCCAGAAAGGGCTGGGTGAGATTCAGAAAGAGCGAGTAGGTGCTCACTAGCCTGCATGTTTAGCTTTGCTCTCCCTGCAAAGTCAATTAGATTCTGCCCCATTATTAAATAAATACCTCCTTAACCTGCTGCTAACAATATTTCAATTGATCAGATCTGGCATTACTTGAGAAATCCTACATGAGCTTTCATCTTCGTGCTGGCTGATTTTTGCATTTCACTCATCCGGAAGAGTGAAATGCTCTTTCTGTTTATACCTGATTATTTCAGATAACCTAAGTGCTCCCAGTTTTTTCAGTTCCTTGTGCTTGACCTAACAAAGGTTGCAGCAGAACAGGGCTTAGCTTTGATGATCATTTACATGATTTTTTCCTTTAATTACTTGAGAATATTTCTTGTTTGCACATAGCTAGGGTTTCAAGCACAGGATCCCGGTATAGTTTTTAATTTAATGAACAGAATTATATACATTTGAATGTGACACTCTTCTATTTGCAAATTAAATGTACAGACTGTGAGACTGGCTACAAGACTGTCAAACCTGTTATCTAATTGCTCACAGCACCCATTGCCTTCAAGTCCCACAAACGTTGCAGGCATTCAGCACCTCGGAGCGTAGCTTACGGGGCTATCATTTATCTGCAGAGTTATGGTGTAAGAGACAATATGAATAATGTATATTCTGAGAATACTGGACTGTGTGTGCTGTGAATTCTGTTTCCTGGTAGAGGCACATGTAAACTAGGTATGCATAATCAAAACCCGCAAATCCAAGCTGTAGCCCACTGCACTTCAATATTAACAGTGAGAGGTGAGTTCAGTTTTGCAGTCACAGTTGCACACAAAATTGTCAAGTCCCAATTGAAGCTCCTTTGAAAATCTGGTCCATTTGTTTAGTTCTTTACATGTGCAGTTGACAGTACAGTGGAACAGTATCCCTTTCAAATTATAACTCAAAAATCAAAACTGTCTGGTGAAAAGACAGAGCCATAGGAGAAAGCTTTGGGAGAATGCTGTCATATGCTATATGAGAAGAAAGGGTTGAGAATGGCAGCAGAGACTGAGTTTTTGTGCTGTGAATGCTTAGCAAGGAGTATTTCTGACTGATTCTGGCGTGTGTAAGGATTAGTGGATGCATATATGCATAAATGAGTGGCATCCATCTACCGTGTGAAAATTCCACCATCTTATGCTTTAATATGCAAACCGAGATCTGATTGAATATGCAAATAAGAATTGATTTTGTTTATTATCCATGAGTAGCAGTTTTTCACATCAGGAAATTTGTATTTTTGCCAACATTTCCAATTATAAAACAGGCCCAGTCTATCAAATGCTTCAGAGGGCTGGAGAAAACCACTGGTATATGTGAAAATTAACTCCAAGGTGCTCATTTTCTCCTGTTCTTTGCACAACTTTGTGTATTCTTCTGCATAAAAGATCTAAATAGAAATCTGTGTCCTAAACCCATAGATCTCAGCTAAGATAAACAGTACTTGAGTATGCAAATGATCCCGCTGATTTCAGTGAAACTACTTGCCCAAGTAAAGATTTGTAAAGTTGGGCCCTTGGGTTTTACAAGTACCGATCTGTTTAATCACTGTAAATGTGTGTCTGGGGTGCAGTAAAATTCCAGTGCCACTCATATTCTTTCACTGTATTTCATTATAAAGAAATCATGTCATGACAGAGCTCTGCCATAGACGTGGCTTTGATTTCACACCTTTCTCATACTAATGTAAAGCAACCTCAGTTACATTGCAGGAATTTCTTATTCTAAGAAAGATGAGAGTCAAACTCCTCTTTTCACAAAACTCCTTCTGTGTTTTGCTGATCAAAACAAAGCTACCAACATGGAAAATCTGTAAAGTGCGCTGTCATTTTGCTGTCTGTGTGCTTTCCAACATTTGATAGAAAAAAGCCATGTTAGCCTGGTTCTGTAGTGATGTGAGCAGTGCTTTTGGGTCACATCCTGGGGAATTTGCTGTCATTGTTTGCAGGAGACACATCTTAAATTCAGTAGAGATATGATGAGTATGCAAGAGAGTAGGACATGCTTCACCAGTCTCAAACTGTCCTCCCAGATACACAACCATATAATCTGCAAAAAATATATTGAAATTTTAGAGCATGGTTTTTAATGTTAAAATCAGAAATCCCATTATTTGTTCTCTTGCATTGGTGCCAACCCCTAAGGAAGGAGTGCATTGGGAGGCACAGGGAAAACAATGAGAAATCAGTTACTGGTGTATTCAGCACGGCACTGAAGAAACGTGTTGCAGTGACACAAAGGTGCAGTTGGAAGGCACAGGTGTTTTTTTGTTTGCTTTTGCCATTTTACTCCTGGAAATAATGAAATGAGGCTGTTTACTTTCCACCTTTGTTTAGAAACTCTTTTCAGTTTCCAGTACTGTAGAAAAATGTTTAAATGAAAATAAGCTTTTGCCATTCAAAGTGGAATCAAAAAGCGTTTGAAAAAGTATTTTTGCTGCTTCCTTTGAAAAGATTCTGGGGTTTATGGCATTAAAAAAAAAAAAAAAAAAGAGAATTTAAATTTCAGGCTTAGAACCAAGTAAACATTTATATCTCCAGGAGATAGATGACATTTTAGGAATTTTTTAATGGTGAATTCAGCTTGCTATTATACATACTAGATATAATAATATTTTTGAGGTTTTTGAGATTAGAGCTGCCACTCTTTTCCTGCATTAGATAAAAAAGTAATTAAAAAAGCAAAGGATGGAGCCCCGAGCTGTTGGAACTGGCAGCCAGCACCTTCCCAGTGAGTACTGGGGAGTACCAGTACCGAGGGCTCTCCCAGCAGCAGTGACTTTTGCTCCTGGCTGTTTTTTGCTTAAATGAAGTCAGCGTTTTGTCCACCCTTAACAAATGTGAAATGATGCGTGGAGGAGATGCAGCCCAGCTCCTCCTTACGGTGCTGCTCAGAGGCTGATTGCAGTGAGAAGCCCTACCAGGCAGCTGAGTGAACAGCTCAGAAATCTCAAGGCTCCTTTTTTTTTTTTTTTTCTTTTCCTTTTCACTAAGAATAATGCCCTGAAGCTGTTCAAAATTAAAAGTAAATCTCTCAATAGAGAGACCTTGTTCACAGCAAGCAGGAAGCTTTTGTTTTTTTGAAGGGGCACTGAACACTTTGTGTGTTACTGAACAGCTGAGTGCCCAGGTGCCCCGCAGCCGTGCTGGCTGTCCGGGTCCGGCTGTGTGCATGGCCGAGGGCTCAGGATTTGGGTCTGGGTTTGGTGAGGGACGAGCTTCCTTCTTGTTCCTTTGCTTTCAGGAGTTAAATGCTTGATGTTTCTGAATGAACAGACTGCCTGGTGATTTTTTACCTTGTTAGTTACCTTGGGCTCAGTGCGTTCTTAAGTGAACCATCTCAGTTAGGTGGAGAAGGATATGCCAATTAGGATGAGAAAAGCAGGCTAAGTAAATAAACTTACTCTTTCTCCCACTGCATCAAGCCAGCTATTTTCATACCTCCTGTGCTGAGGATCAAGGACTGATCTTATGAATGTCTCGGGCTCCCTGTCCCATTTTTCCCCTTCTGTGCTCGCCTCCCTCTGCCTCCTTTGTCTCCGACCCCCACGTGTGCTTGTCTAGCTGACTATTGCCTGTCCCCAGTCCATCTCACAGATGCGGTATGGCCGGTACACTGCCATCCGTCTCCCCCCTTGGGGCACTCCTGGGTCCCTCAGTGCCACTTGAAGCCCAGCCCCACTCCTGGGCAGGAACAGAAGTGGGTTGCAGTGCTGCCCGGAGCACTGCCGGGAGTGCCTGCATGGATGGAGGGTTCTCCTGGGGCAGCCGAAGCGTGGTGAACCCAAAATACTGATGTTCAGCACCGGGAAGGAAAATGTCAGCTGCTACTACTATTTGGCCTTTAATTTTGTTTGTTTGTGTTCTTAATTCCATTAGTAAAAAGAAAAAAATCAGAAAGATCCCTGGAGGCTGCTCATGTTGTAGGTTAGAAAGGAAAGTGGAAGAAACAGGAGCCTCTAGCTTTCTGATGGCTCACAGGTTCTACTGGACTTGTTAATAGGGGAATATATTCCCATTTTGTATTTCAGTGGGTTTCCTTTGAGAGCCCACGTTTCCTTTCAAATGTTGATTAGCATTCCTCATGTGTTGTGCTGAACAGCACGGAAAATGCATACAGGATCTTACTTTCTGCCCGTGCAGAACTGAATCTGCAGTCAGTAAAAATTCATGGCTATGCATTGCCCTTGGTCAGTGTGCACTGCATATATCGACAAAGTAATAGTTGCTTAGGCAGATCAAAAGCAAAACATGCCAAAGCCAGTAAACCTAGGCTTTTGGTATTTTCTTTTTAATATGCTCCTTTCCTGGATATTTATAACTATCTATAAAGAATCACTCTATAGCAAAACATCAAAAGACATTGTTAATTAGATTTCTGTTGCAGAATTTTCTTTATGTGACAGCATGAATACCCTTAAACTACTTCTAGCAAATAAAATTAACAGATGCTCTGAAGATGGACATCGCCCTTCCCAGGACCTGCAGAGGCTCCAGGCGGGTGTGCTGCCCAGCTCCTGCT